TTTTTTTTTAAGTCTACTTTTAATATTTGACACATGCAAACCACCGCAGAAATGTTCTAACCAGATTCTTAATAAATAACTTACTATAAATTAAAAGCATTAATGCATGCTATGTTTTTTGTTTTCACAAGCTTTGGACATGTAACATAAATTCAGCTTTTAAATAATAGGTCACATAGCTTTCGTCATGAGCCACGGCTGTGTTCAAAATGGCATCAATGATTTCAAAGTGCACTGCAAAGGGAGCGTACTTGTAAACATGAAGATCGCTAAAACTGAACTGTAAAAATGTGTTGAAAGCAAATTGCACCTAAGAGAGATGACTTTAATGCTTTTTTAAATAATTCCAAGTTTAAATGTTATAAAAGTTCTAAACAAATAGGGCAAAGGGGGGATAACGGGGACTAGAACACAGCCAGGTCTCAATTTGTGCCATAACACGCCGGATCCAGATCCGGCACCTCTGAAATTTGATCCGGCACCTCATTTTACCAATCCCCCTGCTCAGCCACCCTCCTCCCCCATCCTCTGTTCACTTTCACTTTTCACATCCCCAACCCTCTTCACCTTCGCCCGCGACATCCCCCCACTCTTCACTTTTGTCCTTCGTCTGAGACACCCCTCCATCCTCGGGTAGCATGCCGGATCCGTTACCCTGATCTGTTCCGGGACATCGCAATTCACAAATTAAGCTAGTTACAGCTCTAGAGGTGTAGTTGCAAGCATATTAGTTTGCGAAGTATTTTGCGAATGTTCGTTGGAATGATGGATTTGAATAATGCCAAATCAACAAACTATGTATGCAACGACGCAACTTGCGACCTTGTTTTCAGGTGGTTTTCGGAAACGCACCCCTGGTTGGTATTGTGGTTTACGGTACAAAAAACTGCCAGTACATTTACAGATTTATTTCTTTGCATATTATTTCTTATACATCATATTATTGATTCATTTTCCTTCAGCTTAGTCTCTTTATTCATCAGGGGTTGCCACAGTGGAATGAACCACCAACTTATCCAGCATATGTTTTACACAACGGATGCCCTTCCAGTGGCACTCAGTACTGGGAAACACCCATACACACTCATTCACACACATACCCTACTGCCAATTTAGTTTATTCAATTCATCTTACCGCATGACTGTGGAGCACACAGAGGAAACACATGGAGAACATGCAAACTCCACACAGAAATGCCAGTTGACCTAGCTGGGACTCGAACCAGCAACCTTCTTGCTGTTAGGTGACAGTGCTAACCACTGAGCCACCGTGTTGCCTATGCTGAAAAAAGTGTTGCATGCAGAACTGTTGCAAACAGTTTGTTGAATTTAAACAAATTAGGTTTAATAATGTTCAACTTAATTTGTTTGTTTAAATTCAACACAAATTGTTTACAACCATTTAATGTAAAAAAAATTAAGTAAATCTTCTCAGAATATTTTTTTCAGTGTATTATATTATTTAAAACGACTAAAATTTTGCTAAAAGTCACTTTGTCAAACAGTAGTTTAATTTTCGACACAAAGTCGACAGAGCAAAGATCAAGCTCCCATAATGCAATTCACAACCGTAAATAAACAGAAAAGACAAAATAGGAACACCGTTAATGAACAGATGCCGTTTTCACAGTGTAGTTGGGCTTTCATTGATGGCTGAAGTTTGCACTTGCTTGCAAACTAGTGCCTGATGTCTGCGTCGAAACCTGTAGAATCGTGATCGTCGAGGTAGAATTGCACATTTACGATGACTTTTTGGATCGATTTGCTTCTCATGTCCCTCCTATTTCAAGGTCCACGAATGTTCACACAATCACGCAGCTTGTCAAACGATGGGCTCCTTCATGTAATCAAAACGATGTTACCTGTTTGTTTTCTTTATCAGTCTTGGTGTTCTGATTGGGAGGAAGTCAGGTTCCCCTTCTCTCTTTTTTTTCCCTCCCTTTATGTTTTCTAGATTATAATTAAGCAATCAGTGCACTGACGTCTGTTCACCAGACTTGTCTACAGAAGACTCTCTCGAGTCTCACGGATTGTGTTTACTTTTGTACTCGTACATAGCTTTTAGGCTAGCAGGGACCGGGTGGGAGCGATGGGAAGAGGTTCAGATATTATAAATGAATCCTATATTGTAATCTTAAGTATATCTGCGCACTTGGGATTAATCTACTGTTTTAGGAGGAGGGAATTCCACAATGCTGTTTACTGTCTTTTTCTGATTGTTTGTTTGAAAATCAGGGGAAATATCAGTGAATGTACAATCGGTGTGCTTTATTGTCTTGCTTTTCTTTTTTTTCCCTGCAGCTTTTGAATTGGTTATAAATGTAACGATTAACAGTATATCTAATAAATTTTTGACATCAGTTATCCCTTTTTTTTATTTGTTTGTTTTGTTTTTCATCAGTTCTGTTTATTTTGTCTGTTTCTTTAATGCCTGGATTTTTTTTCTGCTTGAAATCTATTTAAGTTGGATCGTGTATGGCAGGGGTGTCCACACTCGGGACTGGAGGGCCGGTGTCCTGCAAAGTTTGGTTCCATTCCAAATCAGACACACCTGGGCTAGCTAGTCAAGCTCTTAAGCTGCGGTCACACTGCACTTTTCTTCCCCTAGACCAGGGGTGCTCAGTCCTGTTCCTGGAGATCTACCCTCCTGCAGATTTCAGTTGCTACCCATATCAAACACACCTGAACCAATTAATTAGGACTTGAACACCACTTGATAATTACAGGCAGGTGTGTTTGATTTGGGTAGCAACTGAAATCTGCGTGAAAGTAGATCTCCAGGAACATAATCGAGCACCCCTGCCATAGACTCAAGTTCAAGCTCGCTGAACTCTGATTTGCGAAATCGGATCACTTGACTGCGTTAAACGAATCGAGGATCAAAACATGACCTCTCCGGACAGAAATTTTAAAAAGCTGGACCAATCATTCGCTTTTTCAAATGTCTAATCTTGTTTAATCCCGCCCCTTTTCGCAGCGCAGTAGGACAGAATTTCGCACGCACAATCTCTAG